TCTTTTTTTTTTTTTTTTTTTTTTTTTTTTTTTTAAGATTACGTGTTACCAAAGCAATCATAAACCAAGTATATTTTCACAAATATACTTTCATACTAAGTTAATGTGTTTAGTTACTAGAACTTACTTTTGTTGCTTTGAGTGGCCTAAGCTGGAAGATGACCTTGATCTTGCTGCCTCCACTTACCAAGGATTACAGGCAGGCCTATATGCAGTGCTAAGACTTCCTACACATAAGGCAAGAGCTCAACCAAAGGAGCCACACCCCAGTTTATTTGCAGAGTGTCTTGTTTTGGTCTGACCACCAGACTAGACAATATTAAAAAGGTTATTGTAACAGATTAAGATATGCATTGATTATTAACTAAAATACAAAGTCAACTCTAGAAAAATAAATCTTGATAATCAGTACAATAGCTAGCCACAGATAACTACATACAAAAAATAAAAAACACTGGTTTTGATTTATAATCACTTTGTAAAGCTGTCCTTAAAACTGAAGTGTACATATATATAGTCTGTATGTAATTCTTTTTTTATTTACAATGCCTAATAAAAAAATTTTAAATTAAAGGAAATCTACGCTCCCAAACTCCAAGAGTTTGCTTATGTCACTGATGGTGCTTGCAGTGAAGTAGATATCTTAAAGATGGAACTCTCTATATTAAAGGTAATAACAATCAGTGTGCTTTCTTAATTGCAGCTTTGTGATATATAGTTATGAGTGAACTTTGGATATAGCAAAGAGCCAAACTTAGGGGCAATGAGATGACAACATTTTGATTCCTAGGGGACTCACATAGTGTACAAAGTCCTCTGACTTCCACATGCAAGTCACACATGTGCCTACACCCAAAATAAATATGATTTTTGAACAAACTGTTAAAAAGAGCCAAAATCGATGTTTTAACCTGGGCATAGAATTCTAAAAGATTAATGCAGCATATATTGCTATTGATTGGTGATTGGTAAGGGAATTAACCTCTGAACTCTATGTATACTCTGTGTGTGTGTGTGTGTGTGTGTGTGTGTGTGTGTGTGTGTAGTTATTAATGGGAATTTTTAAAATTTCATTGACAGGCTTTAAAATGGGAACTTTGTCCTGTAACAGTCATTTCCTGGTTGAATCTTTTTCTCCAAGTTGATGCTGTTAAAGATGTTCCTAAGGTTCTTCTACCTCAATATTCTCAGGAGACATTCATCCAGATAGCTCAGGTACTGACCCTGTTACTGAACATAGCTAATGTTATTGTTGATTACAGATTTATTTAGTGTATATATAAGTCCTGGACTACACAATGATATGGCATACCAACTTACATCTTAGTTGACAAAAAAATTTTGACCCATAAAATTCTGTCCCTAATACTTAACATTGCTTAATAATTCTAGAGAAGAAAATCTTAAACTTTTATAAGAATTTCCATTTTTAGGGTTTGGGGTTGGAGTAAAATGCCCTTTTGATATAAAATGGGGCAAAAATGGTATCAACTAGTTGTCTTTGGGGTTTTGGGGGCAGGAGAGGCTATTTTGTTTTTGTTTTTCCAGATAGGGTTCTTCTATGTAGCCCTGGCTGTCCTGGCACTTTTCTCTGAAAACCAGGCTGGCCTTGAACTCAGAGATCCACCTGTCTCTGCCTCCCAAGTGCTGGGTTTAAAGATAGCATTGTACCATATTTCCCAACCTGCTGTTATTTAATTCTAATTAAAATTTTCCTAGGCCAGCATATAACAGGCATTCTAACAAAATGACTGTAGAGATTGAGGATCCCATTCTTTTTAAATAAGTAAGATCTGAAGGCTGGAGTTCTACCATATATAAGTGTGAAAAAAATCTACAGTTTTATTCAATGTAGGATGGGAAATTGAATTTCGATGAGTATTAAGTCATATGGGTTAGAGCTTGGGTTTTAAATCTGTTAGCCAACAAAGTTGTGGAATGTTTCTAGTATATACTTTTGAATATCCCTATTCCAAAATGTTGAAAATACTCTGAAATTGGAATTTTTGAATGAAAACTTCCACACTTCAGTAATTGGTCACAAAGAACAGGCACACTAAAAATATTCTATAAAGCTGAATATGTATGTATATAAGGTATGTGTAAGTGAATGGAGTTTTGACATGAATCCCAACTTCTCACACGTGTAAATACTTAAATCCAGAAACATCCAAATTCCAAAACACTTATCTTATTCAATTTGTTGTAGTATTTCACTTCCAACTCTCCTCCAGTTTATACCACTTTCTTGCCTGATGAGTACAAAAACTAAGTTTTATTTACTGAACAGCAATCACCTTAAATCTTTGAAACAATCTAGCCTTTACATCATTCCAATTGCTGCTTTTTGGGTTCTTGCATTACCAAGATGATACTACTTAACTCTAGTTGCTGCTAAGATTATTGCATTCTAGTTTGTCCATTTTACTGTCCTTTTTCCTAGATTTAGAATCTTAACAGTAGTTAAAATAAGTTTAAGTAGTAGTGATCTAACTTCTAAAAGGTCTTTACAACTTAACCTTCTAGCTTTATTTGCCTTCAACTGCTCACTTGGCTAATGAAGGAAGGTATTTCTTGCTTATTTCATAATAAAAACTATTACATTTGGTAATATTCTTCTATCTCAAACATTTCTCTGTCCACCAATCTTTCTGCCTGGCTTATTAACCTAATTTAGAAGGCTTTGTTAGCTTTTCCCAGTCTAGATGAAGTACACACCCTGCTAATACATTATCACTATGTTCCTACAGTGCTATCCTGGTTTTTGCTCCCTCCCCTGCAATCCTGAGACTAGATGGTTGCTTATTCATTTACCTTAGAGTTAGCAGTCATGGTATATGATCTACAAAGTAGGGACATACTCATCTCTTAAATTACTTATACTTTTTCTTTATTAGCTTTTAGATCTGTGTATCCTCGCCATTGACTCATTAGAATTCCAATACAGAATTCTGGCAGCTGCTGCTTTGTGCCATTTTACCTCCATTGAAGTAGTTAAGAAAGCCTCAGGTATGACTATTGTTCACTTCTCTTTTTTTTTTTTTGTTTTTGTTTTTGTTTTTGTTTTTGTTTTTGGAGACAGGGTTTCTCTGTGGCTTTGGAGGCTGTCCTGGAACTAGCTCTCATAGACCAGTGTGGTCTCAAACTCACAGAGATCCGCCTGCCTCTGCCTCCCAAGTGCTGGGACCACTGCCTGGCCTATTGTTCACTTCTTACCTGTTCTCTTTTAATGGAACTACAGGGACTTTAATACCTTATCAAGCACACAATTTAATAATTTACTGATTATTTTTCTGTTAGAAGTACTTTAAAGCCCTTAGGGTCTCTCCACAAGCAAACTAATACAATGGAAATTAAATTTATTAAATTCATTTGAAGCAAATAAGCACAATTCTACTTTGTACTAATATGTGTGTGTAGGTTAAAAAGCTCTGAAGCGGGCCTAGAAAGATGGCTCGGTGGTTAACAGCACATACTTCTTTTAGAAGACCAAGGTTTGGTCTCTAACCCCATATCAGGTGGTTCACAACCACCCATAACTCTAGCTCCAGGGCATCTGATGCCCTCTTCTGATCTCTGTGGACACTTGTGCACAGACTCACAAAATTATAAACCTAAAAACACTTTACAGAGTCAGGTGAGAGGCACAAGCTTATAACCCCAACACTTGGGAAGCTGAATCAGGAGGGCAGCCAACCTGGGCTTCAGAATGAGCCTTGAGAAAGCTATGTGTTCTTTCAGCTTTACCGTCATAAAAAAGTTTGATAAATGTGTGATCATTTCTGTTAAGTTTTTAGAGGACCTAAAAATTGGAAGTGGGGGCCTGGAGAGATGGCTCAGTGGTTAGGAACACTAGCTGGTCTTCTCAAGGTCCTGAGTTTAGTTCCCAGCAACCACATGATGGCTCACAACCATCTGTAATGAGATCTGGTGCCCTCTTCTGGCCTGCAGGGATACATGCAGACAGAACACTATATATATATATAATAAATAAATCTTTTAAAAAATGGAAGAACAAAGTACATTGGGCATATTAAGATCGTTTCTGTTACATAATTTAACATTTTATTAACTTTTTAAATCTAGGTTTGGAATGGGATGACATTTCAGAATGTGTAGACTGGATGGTGCCTTTTGTCAGTGTAGTAAAAAGTGTAAGTCCAGTGAAGCTGAAGACTTTTAAGAAGATACCCATGGAAGACAGACATAATATCCAGACACACACGAATTATTTGGCTTTGCTGGTACGGTTTTTTAATTTGGGGACTTGTTTTAATTTAAACTTTAATTTAAAATCTTTCACTGTTTAAGTCTTGCCATCTAGTCAAGTCTTGCAAGAGATGGAGAGGACATTGTAGACTACTACTTCAGACAGTTACATAGGATGATAAAGGGGAAAGTAACAGTCATGTTGATTTTAAAATGTGAAGGAGATAATAAAATTAAGGCAAGCTTGTTGGCACAGGCCTATAATCTTAACAATGGGAAGCCTGAGGCAGGAGGATCAAGACCACCTAGGGCCACATAGTAAGACTGTCTCAAGGAAAAGATTACTGTGAAGCAGCTCAAAATCAAGACCAGCAGTCCAGATAAGAAATTAAAAATGTTTTTGTTTGTTGTTGTTTTGAAACAGGGCCTTATTAGAATTAGCTAAATAAACCAGGCTGGCCTCAAATTCATATAGATCCATCTGCCTCTGCCACCTGAGTGTTGGGATTAAACAACTGGCCTAAGGTAGACTCTAAATTAGGCTTGGAGAGTCTCAAACAAGTAGGTATATATCTGAGATATTTATGTGTATGTGTATGTATATTGTAGATATAAAAGTATATATTACATCTATTTAGCTGTTAATTATTGAATAATTCCTTCACATGTACAGAATGAAGTAAACTACGTGAACACCTTCAGAAAAGGAGGGCAGTTGTCACCAGTGTGTAATGGAGGCATCATGACACCACCGAAGAGTACTGAGAAACCACCATTAAAACACTGAAGTTAACAACAAATTGGAATTGAGCAAATACTGGATAGAGGTTCATACACATGAGTAAGTTACAGGAAAGTAGTGCTGTGGCTATCCTTGCCTACTGAGGAGTTACACTGCCATTCTTTTATTTAAAAACTACATCAATTTGGCACTAAATGCCTAGGATGCATGAAGCCTTGGGTTCAATACTCGGCACTACAAAAGAACAAAAAAACTTCACAAAAAGATTGGCACTAAGAAAATTTCCTCCATTTAAAAGAGGATTTGTTTACAGAGGCGACTTCACTCCCAAGGACAGTGGATAGAAGCCAGAAACAATTTATGCTGTAGCAGTTTCTGTTTGTTATTGTGTTTCTTTACAGTCCAGTGTTACTGTGTTTCTCTTGGTAAACTAGGAATTTTATCATTGGAATATGGACTAAACTACTTAAAGGATACATAAGCCTACACAGAACTCTAAAACTAGATTTTAGATTCTTAAATTCCTATACTCTTGAATGGTGCAATTTGTCTTTTGAAAATGAAATTTAAACCTATTTACAAAGATTGTTTTGTAATAAAGTGACTAATTTATCTAAAGCTGTTTGTAACAGTGACAAAACTTGAATATTTACAAATGGTGAAGTTCAATCTGTTTTTAACTAGTTTGTTTGCCTTGCCATATTTCTTAATCAGTGGCATTGAACCAAATGTTTAAACTGCTCTAAACAATGGGAGAACCAAAGAAATTATAAACAAGATAAATGCTTTGGCTTCTATAGGGGTTTGTACTTTAGCTAAAGTTTCCTTTATAATCTTTTCATGTATCACAATCTGAGTGAAACTTTAATGCATTTGCAAACTACATTAGAAAGTCACTTTATTACACTAAGCTATCCTTAAGTATTTTGAAGTGTTATATGACTAAGGCTTTATGTTTGGAAAACTGTCAGTCTATTTTTAAGCCCTATATTATGAGATGAGGACCGTGTCAACATGGTAAAACTTATGTGACCTAAAATTCTATTTTCTATGGCAGAAAAAATATTAAATGTATACTGACTCCTAGAAATCTATTTATTTAAACTTACTGTATATACAATAGCTACTTATACATTAAATATTTTAAGTTAGCCTTTGAAAAGGAAATTTGGGCCCAAAAGTCAGTTTCATTAGAACAAAAGTGATACCAGAGTGCCAGGTTACCAGACATGTGAACCTTTTCTCTCTTTGAAGAAATTGTAAACTATATGTTAATTTGTTAAGTTTTTGTATAGTTTTTGTTTATAAAACTACTTTCAGTTTTTGTCTGAAAAGAAAACACCACTAAGTGTACATATGTATTATACAAACTTAATCTTTTAATACTGTTTACTTTTAGCCCATGTTTAAAAAATAAAAGTTTAAAAAAGTAACTAACTGCTTAAAAGTAAAGTTTTGCCATTGCTTGTAGAAACTTCTTTTTCCTTCTCTGTGCTGCCAGCTGTAGTACTTCTTCAGGGTTGCTTGCATTCAATTCTGTTTGGCCAATGGCTTTGATCTTAAAACAGAAAAGTGTTATTAGGAGTCTGGCTAAAAAAATAAGTCAAAGTTAAAAATAACTAAATTGAATTATGCAATTAGTTTAAGAGCTACAGAAAAAATTAACCTAACTATTGCATTGATCTCCTAAGATATAATTACCTGGAAGAACATTTTGTTACATTAAATAAATTCCTGTATGCTATGGGTTAGCAGGAAAGGAAGGGTGGGTGGAAGGGGTGGGGTTGGGTCACAAACCCAATTTAGGGAAGCACAGAGGCAAGAAGGTCAGAAGAGGCTATGGACAGAATTTGTTATAGTAATAACACCATGGAAAACATTTGACAATAAGAATAGGGTAAAAGTGGTAAGTAA